CAATGTTTTCCTTACTTGTCACGTTTTGATGTTTATCAGTCTTTCTTGCTCAAAAAAAAAGATTCATATGACTTATAATAATTCTAGAGATCTTATCATCGTGCGAATATCTCCAACGTACCACTAGATCATTTTCTCTAATTTGACGAAAAAAAAACATATTCAATAAAACATTTTATTACTCATATAAAAATTCAATATGCAATCAATATTTTTTTCAATATATTTATATGTATAACAACTAAGAGATGTTCATCTATTATAAGTTTTCCTAGAGTCTCCACATAAACTTTTATTATATTCTAATGAAAAGTAGAGAATCAAATAAAAATGACTCGTCTTGCTTTTCTTTTATTTATTCTTACTATTCTCTCACGTTCAATTAAAACAATAATATATCGACCAGTTGTTCTTATGCATGGTATCGTTGCATTTACTTCTGATATGAATGAACTAGCTGGTTGGCTTCGAACATCTTTTGCTGGAATTTATATTGTATCAATTGAAAAAGGAAATAATTTTGACGATTCATTTTTGTGGTCATTAGATGAACAAGTTGAACATTTTTGCACTAGAATTCGTAACGATATTCATCTTCAACAAGGTTTTAATATGCTTGAATTTTCTTAAAGTCTTATTGTACGAGGTACTATTGAACAATGCTCATTTCTTGTTTATAATTTAATAACATGAAGTGGTCTTCATTAAGGAATATTTGATATACCTTATCTTCTAAAATCTTCAGCTCAATTTCGTCAATTAATAACAAAATATGCATATGAAAAATTCATTCAAGATCGAATTAGTATTGCAAATTATTTAATGCGACATATATGGACTGAAAAACACAGACAATATTTTCGATTAAGGACGTTCTAGACTAGCCATATATAAGAAATTAATACTATGGTGAATGTTTTAAATACATAGGGTATGACAAAATTAGAAGACCTCCCACCTTAAATTCTGAGAACAATAAAGATTTCTCCAACTGAAGAAGGTTTCATTTCCGATCTAACGTCATATTCATAGATACATAGTAGCAGTCTATCGTGTACCATATTGGTTTGAATTTGATCAATTGTCATTAATGAATAAATTCAAAAACTTTCGAATTTCAACTGCGGCATAATTATGAGACTTTCCTCCTTCCTAAATATAAAAATATTGAATTATTACTAATTTTACCAAGTCAAATAGTTCTTTTCAGCATCCATTCGAAAGAGGAGACACTCAGCTATACGGTGGAAAAAAATTGATTTTTGAAAACTAATTTAACTTTTCTACACTTTAAAAAAATAAATAATAGAAAAGTTAAATCTCAAAATGATCACTATATAGTTCGAGAAAAATAAGTTTTCACGTCTTTAACGTAAAGAAATTCTATTTAAATTCTATTTAAACCATACCATTGGATAGAGCATCAAAAGCTGAATAGACTACATATGTTTTGACAAAAGAATTGAAGCTATTAGTAATTGTAACAATGTATCCTAAAGATATTCAAAAAATCTTTTTTTTTATAGGTCATGTCAAAAACATTTGCTTTCGTGAGAAAAAGCCTCTGATTTCAAATAAAAATAGATATAATTGTTTTTTCCAAGGACATTAAGAGATAGAGCATCAAATTCTGCACAAGATAGGCTATTTTTTCATTTTCTTAAATGAATTACAAAAAATTTGAAAATATGATCTCACAAAATGAGCAAGGCGACGTAAAGTAGACAGTCAGACAACAAAACAGATTCCCAGTATTTTTGATAAAACTTTTTTTGAACAATGCTTTTTAATAACAAATAAATATGCGTTTTGTAGCGCACTTCACATGCGTCTTCATATGAGATACGACACAACTTTTTTTTGCACGTAATACGACTAAGAAAATCAGAGTTCAAACAAAAAATAATTTGTCGTCAGGCTGTCCACTTTATATTGCCTTGCTCACTTTGTGAGATCATGTTTTCAAATTTTTTGTAATTCATTTACGAAAATGAAAAAATAGCCTATCTTGTGCAGAATTTGATGCTTCTTCTCGTAATGTCCTTGGAAAAAACAATTATGTCTATTTTTATGTGAAATCAGAGGCTTTTTCTCACGAAAACAAATGTTTTTGATATGACCCATAGAAAAAAAGATTTTTTGAATATCTTTAGAATACATTGTCACAATCACTAATACAAGAGTCACTCCAAACATTTTTTTCGCCAAGTTTTCTTAAAAGACTTAACCAAGAACTAACTATACCGCTATAATGCCTAGACATATTTAGGATTATATGCAAAATTTCAGACATCTAAGTTTTGTACTTTGTTATAGTCTATCATTTCTTTTATACTAGGTACATGCGATTTCCAATATGATACATAATGGGTTGGATCGTTGCGTTTTGTATATTAGTTTTCAATCTATTAATAAAATGTATTAAAAAAATAAAATACATTACAAGATGCAGCGTGAAAAGTTCTATAATTTACATAAGACTGCTTTTTTTATAATTGCACGTTTTGCTTTCAAAATGGGCAAAATCTTGAACGATTAAATTTCGACTCTATGAAAAAATAACATGAATGAGAAATTTCCTTTTTTTCTTATTTCATCTTTTTATCACTTACATAGATTGTAGAGCTTTTCATGCTGCATCTTTCGGTATATTTTATTTTTATTTATGAAAACATATTAGGTGGTAAAAAGATGAAAAAAGAAAAAACGAATTCATCTTGTATCGAAAAAAAAAGATCATTATTGCACGGCCGAAATATGGTAGCTCAATATTTTTATGCATTTTGAAAGCAAAATGTGCAACCATTAAAAAAAAAGCGGTCTGATGTAAATTGTAGAGTTCTTCACGCTACATCTTGTAATGTGTTTTATTTTTTTAATACAACTTATTAAGAAATTGAAAACTGATATACAAAACGTGACTATTTAACTTGCCTCACTAGTATAAAAGAAATGATGGACTACAACAAAGCACAAGACTTAGAAGTCTAAAATTTTGCACATAATCCTAAATATGTCTGCGCATTACAGTGTAGTTTTTCTTAATAAAGTCTTGTAAGTGAACAGAGCGAGAAAAATTTTGACGTGACCTGTGTAAATGAAACATGACCTTATAAAACAAGAAATTTTATCACTGAGTGATACTCAAAATTTTAATTTTTCTGTCAGTGTATAAACAGTGGTCTCAAATGTGTTTCTATATTTTCATATATACGTTTAATTCAACAGAACTAATCATGTCTATGGATAGAGGACTGTATAAACTATACACAGATAATAATACAAATACAGCAGAACTTCTTATTATTTTTAAATAAAATGAGTCCGGATACTTTTTGAACGTGCTACATATATGTTAGAGTATGTTCATAATAGTAATATACACCTAATGTTGCTTGCTTGATCATGCCTCGTTTTTGAGTTCGTTAATTTTCTCTGGTAAATAATTCAACTGATCTTTGACAAATATTGGTACTCAACAGGATATAAGAAGAGGTCAGTGTTCTACTGACAAACCGCTTAGGTTGACAGCTCATCATTTTTCATCACTAATTGACAGAAGAAGACGATAATGTATTGTCTGCAGTACAAGTATCAAACGACCAGAAAAAACCAACTAATCTCGTAGCAGATACAAATGTTCAAATTGTAATGTAGGCTTAGACATTGCCAATTGTTTTCAAGACTCGATGTGATACTTTGAAAGTATATTAATAAACTTGAATAAAAAATAGAATCAATTAATTATTGAAATTTTATTTTTCTCTTTCTCTTTTTTTTATCTTCAAAAACTAATTCCGCTCTGAAAGAATAAATAATTAAGCATTTTCACATAGTTATAACGCATGTCGATAAAATTTCAAACTTATTTGAATAAATCTTTTAGAATATATAACAATAAATTGTTTAATCGAATTCTGTCGATAACGTTGGTTATTTTTCTAGTTAAAAGCGAAAAAAAACAAATGCATTTAATAACAATATATATAACTATTCTAATGTTGTTTCTATTTTATATATTATTTGACCTAGACCTACTGACTGCATAGCGAAAATATACATTCTTTTATTTTTCTTTTATTTTTTTCTTTCTTATTCTATCGCATGTTTTCATCATAGGTTGCTATGTTTTATGTGCGCGTTTCTCTATCTATCATTTGAATTTTAACTTTTATAATAGAAATACACAGAGATAAATCGTTCTTCTTTAAACATAAATTATTATTCTAGCAAACAAATATGGTTACAGTTAATTATTGGGCAATTGCAACATGTACAGTAATGAATATGATTCTTGGAATGTTATGGTATTCTCCATTACTTTTTGGAACAACATTTGTTAAATTAATGAAAATGGATTATAATAAAATGAAAAATGATCCAACTGTACAAAAAACTGCTCAAAGAGGTTATATGGTATCAACAATTTGTCATTTATTAATGGCTATTGTAATGGCACATTTTATTGCATATACTCATACATCACGATCATTGTTTGATGGATTAAAATTAGGTTTTTGTTCTTGGCTTGGTTTTACATTAACAACAATGTTACCAAATCATATATTTTCAAAAGATGGTTTTTCATTGGGATTAGCTGCAATTAATATTGGCTATCCAATGGTTGGATTATCAACAGCTGGTGCTATACTTGCTGCTTGGCGTTAAAATAAAGACATTATGATATTTCTTGTGTGTGTGTGTCTTCTTATTATAACTTTTATTCAAGATAAAACAAAAAAATATAGTATATTGAAGATTTTATGAAATAGATATTAAAAGAAAAAATAAAAAATAAAATTTTTTTTGTTTCTCTTCGAAATTAATGGAGGATAAAAGTATTTCGGTCAAATATGGTGGAACCAATCAAGATCATTTGTTCTTTCTTCTTCTTTTTTGGATCTCAAACGCAATAGACAAATAAGGGATATTCTATTTCGATATAAAAGAAAAATTAATGATAAATATTATTTTCTATTATTTTTTTTTGATATTAGATTATGACAGTGGATACAGCTGCTGTACCTGAAAATAAAAAAACGAATCCTTCCATCGTTCGTAGCTAAAAAAAACAAGATTTTCTTTTTTTTTTGTTTTGTCTATAATATTTTTATGTTAATTAGACGAAACGTGATCGACGTGATGTTATACGGCAGGTCCGTGAAATTACTGGACTTGATGATAATTTTATAAATCAAACAATAGAAGCATGTAAAGACAGTACGGGACGTTATTCATTAGAACAAGTTATTAATTTATTATTTGACGATAATGTTCGTGTTTTTTGAAATAAAGAAAGACTTTTTATTTCGTTTTTTTTTTCTCCTCTGAATTAGCTTCGAAATAATCTTCAACAATCAACTAATAATAATAATAATAATAATAATAATCAATCTCATTCTAATCCAAATGTACCTGTTCAAGCAACAGCTGCAGCATTATCACCACAAACATCTGATCGAAATCATGGTGATACAATTACAGATGATGTTATTGAAATTTCACCAGAAAATGATAATCAACAAGCAATTGATGATGATTTAGAACGGTTAGAATAAAACTAAAAACAACTTCCGATGAGTTAATAATCATTTACTTGATTAATTAGCGAAAGATCATTATAATGAAAAAAGAAGATTTTTGAATAATAGAAATAAGATTTGAAAGTTATTCTCTTTTTTCCAAAGATATAAATAGATATATATGTCTCTCTATAATTTGTTCTATTGAAAATAATTATTTATTTAAGTGCTCTACAATTATCACGTGAAACAGTGGAACAAATAATTGATGAATCAGATATTGCTGAAAGAAAATCATTTGATGAACCAGCTGGATTAAAAAATATTGGAAATACTTGTTGGTTTAGTTCGATTGTTCAAGCACTTTATACATTACCATATTTTCGTCAACTTATATTAAATTTTACACATTCAGTTATTAATCGTGAATTAACTGAAAGTGTATGTTAATTGTTTTGTTTTTTATTTTTATTTTTATTTTTTATTTTGAAATAAATTTAGGAAAAACAAGCAATTTGTTTTACAGAAGAATTACGTAATTTATTTATTTTAATGTTAAAATCAACACGTCGTTCAATAAATCCTGATCGTGCAATAAAAAAATTTAAAAATACACGAAAATTATGTGGAGTAGATTTTTCACATGAAGTATTTTATTTTTGAAATATAAATAATTTAAAAATTAAACAAATAATAAAAAATTTTAGGATTGTTCAGAATTTGCTATACATCTAATTGATCTTGTTGAACTTGCATATGAAACAGTTGGAAAAAAGTTCGAAGATTTTTTTTTTTTGAAATAATTTTGATAAGAAATAAAAAATTTAATTTATTTATTCTAGTTTAATGAATATTGATAATACAACATTATCAACAAATTTTATTAATCCTATTAATACATTTGTTACAGGAGAAGTTATTGTTGAAAGAAATGAACATAATTCAAGTAAATTTTTTGTTGTTTACGATTTTTTTTTTTTTTTAAAAGAAAATTCTTTTTGAAATTTAGTTCGTGAAGCATTAAGACAAATAAATATTCAAATGATTGATTCAAGTAATCTTTATGATGGTCTTGAAACTCTTTGGCTTGGTTCAGCAGATGAAAGTCTTTCTAGTCAACAAGTATATTTTGTATTTATTCTTACAAGTAGAATTTAAATACTGAATCAGAGAACTTCACAGGATGGTTTTTTTTTTGTTTTGTCCTGCTCGATATTCTGCATAACATTATCACACAGTCATCCTGTTGTTTGTAGAATCTAGAACAGAATATCAAAAAATTTTTCCTTGCATTTCTGACCAGAATAAAAACTTGTCTGTATATGAAATACTATTTATGCAAAAATCATTTAAAATATTATCATGTTAATAAACCTTATCACATATTTTTCAGCAGAAATGCAATGAACAATTTAAAAAAAATGCTTAACATCCATAAGATGAACAAAAGAATAAGAGACGAAACATAAGGATACAGGATTTACAATATAATCAACAAAAAAGGATAAGTTTACTTGTTCTCGAATTTCTCGTATGAACGAACAAAACAATATATTAACAATTTGATTTAGTGATAAACGTGCTTGTCTATAAGTAAGTGTCAACTCAGTTGAGCTAAATAATCTTTCTACCGAAGCAGTAGTCACTTGTATGGCACCTGTTCTTCTAGCTACTATTGATCTGAATGAAAAATTATAACGAATTTTACTAATAGATCAGAACTACAGATTTTTAAAAATGTAATACGAATAAATCCTGTAATAGTTTTCTCTGAACCGTGATAATAAAAAAAAAACTTGGTCCCGTATATTTCTATCTGTAATCTACATTATCAAATGATATTGTAGAAGATAATTATTAAATTCATGTTTAGTTCATATTTATATTAGGCTATTGTTGAACAACGATGGCTTACACGTTTACCACCTGTTTTATTTATTTGTCTTAATCGTTATCGATTTTCACAAACAACAAAACAAGCATCGAAAATAATTACACCATTTGAATTTTATCCAGAACTTTATCTTGATCGTTATATGTTAACTAATAAAAATCTTATTTTAAATAAACGAAATATTGCTCGAACACTTTATGCACAATTACATGAGTTAGAAGATACATTGAACAGGTATTGAATATAAAAAGCCAAAAAAGGAAAAAGATATTTATTTTAATGTATAAAAAAAATCTTTTTTTTTTTTTACTTGTAGTTATTTAAAATATCCATGTAATAATGAATCATTTTCACTTGCAAATGCTATTCGAGTTGTTTATGAATATGCAACTGGTTGTCGACTTAATCCAACATTACCTAAAAGGTTATTTTTTTTTATCATTAGAAAATTATTGTTTAAAAATTCTTTTTTTTTTCATTTTTCTAGAAATGATTCAGTATCTTTTGATCAAACAACAACATCAAATCGTTCTCGACAAAATTCTATTATACCAATACAAAGATCACATTTATCTAATGAAGAACTACAATTTATTCAAAATACATTACCAACATGGTTAACAGAAATTGAAGCTAAATGTGCAAGTAAATAGAAGATAAAAATAAAAAATATTATTTTCAATAAAAATAAATTTTTTTTTAGATATTCGTGAAGAAATTCGACGTTTAAAAAATGAATTAAAACAATTATATAATGAATCTCAATTAAAACAAGTTCGATAAATTGAATTTATTAGTCATAAAATAAAACCTAAAATTTCATTTTAGGTTCTATATACATTACATGCTGTTTGTGTTCATGAAGGAAGTGCAACACTTGGACATTTCTGGACTTATGTTTATCATATAGATCGACAAAAATGGTATCGATATAATGATAATGAAGGTAAATATTTACAAACAAAAAAAAATACAGTATTTATTATCATTCTTAAGTTAATAATCAAGGGGGAAACGGCGGACTTTTGGACTTGAAGTTACTTTGAGCTACTTTAAGCTACTTCAAGTTACTTTCAGCTACTTGAAGTAGCTTACTTTGAAGTATTTTTCAACTTCAAATTTACCTGAAGTTACTTGAAGTTACTTTAAGCTACTTGTTCCTACTTTGGGCTACCTGGGTGGTACTTTGAGCTACTTCAAGTAGTCTACTTTGACGTACTTTGACGTACTTTTCTACTTCAAGTCCGCCGTTTCCCCCTTGTTAATAATCCTAATATTTAAAGTATACAAATATTTTTTCGATAGTATTTTTTAAAAAAAACTTATTGGGATCTACTTTATACATAGAGTTCAAACTAAAAAGTAATTTTCAAGTTGAGAAGATTTCCTCGTAAGATAGAACAAGAAAGAAATTCATACATAAATAAAAATCAATCAATTTCATAATCATATAAGATCTTTGAATAAAACAAAACAAAAAAAATATTTCATTTTATTTTGTAGTAACTGAAAGTAAATGGTCCGATGTATTCGAAGATGCTATTGGTGGTCAACGGACATGTAATGATCGTGAAGTACCACGTGTACCTAGTGCTTATTTATTAGTTTATATAAATGCTGAACAAAAATCATTATCTAATGGTTAGTCTAGTCTAAATTATTATTATTATTACTATTTTTTATTGTATATAAATATTTATTTAGATGTATATTATGAATTAACTCCTGATCTTCAGCGTATTTTAGATGATGATTTAACTTTATTACAACAACAAATAGAAACTATTAAATTAGAACAACTTTATAATGATCTTAAAACAATATGTGAACGTGTTGAAAAATCTCAATTGATACATAAAGTTTTAAATCTTCCATTTTTTTCCGGACCAAATGCTACTTTTGGTATATTTTATCATAGATATATCTATATATATAGAACACTTGGAAAAGTTTCTTTTTTCATGCCTATTAGAATAAGAATTGCACAAAAAGCTTCGACACAAATTAGAATTCTGTCAATGCAAAACAGGCTTCACTAATTAATAGAGAACTTGATGTGAGTTTAAACCGTCGTGAGATCGACTAGTTTTACCTTACATTGGACTTTGGCATTGATAGAAAGATTCTACTTATATATAAAATCATAGTGCGAAACAGAAGTGCAAAATCTATTGCTAAAATGAAAAATTTCCCCTACTATCAAAACAAGTAATGCTCCTCATCGTTATGATTCATTTGATCTTCGACTGAATGTTTTAATCTGTCATACATAATATACTATAATACAAGCTCAATCAATATTAATATCACATGTATGTATGAGGTGAAGTGTGAGAGTGGATGTTAATGTGTGTACCGATGTCGATATGAATTTAAATGTGTAGATCCATCTCCGACACGTGACTGTACACGTGCATACAAACAAATAAATATATAAATTTATTTTATATCGTATGATCCTCCTTTTAATCGAAGGAATAAAGAAGAAGTTGAATTCTCTTTTTCATTCGTACGATTTAAAGAACGTGATAAAAGAAATCGATTTATTTGATTTCATAAATAAACCATATAAACAATTTATGAATCATTTATTGATAGAAATAATATTCATTTAAAAAAAAAAGCAATAGATTGTATAGTTAAATAAAAGAAGAAACAAGAGAAACATTTCTTTATTCGAATTTCCAAATGAAAACCTTTTTTTCCCTACAGGCAATTGTTTTACAAAATTTCCCTTAAGGCACATTGGCGCATATCAGTATATTCTTTATTGCTTGGTGCGAAACTGTTCGAATGAAACTTTCAATTCATATCGAAAATAATATGTGACTAATATGATAGAAATAAAATTAAGTATCATACTTAAACGACTTAAATTTTGTACATAAATATGTCTAAGTATTAAAATAGAATATCTGCATTCAAATTATAGTTTTTAGGAGAATCAAGCGAAAAAAACATTTTTCCTAGTGTCCAATGTATATAATAATTTTTTTTTTCTCAATGTATTAATTTTGTTTAGATTCAGAAATAGTTAGACCAGTTATTGATTCAACAATACGTGTTTTAAAAACTTATGAAACAAAAATTCTTTCAATTGAACTAAATCATTTACTTCAAGAAGTGAATAAATTTCAATAAAGTTTTATTTAAAAAAAAAATTTTTATTTATTTATTTATTTATTAGATAATTGAAAAAGAAATAAAAACTTATTCACCAACAACTAATATTATAACATCAGCATTACCATATCATGATTATCGTTTACAACATGTTCTTGCATATTTATCAGCAAATCGTATTGATATGATTTATCGACAACGTGTTATATATGATATTATACGTCTTTTACCTATTTCTAATGATGATATTCGGTAATGAAGTTATATTTTTTTTTTCTTTTTATGAGAAAAATTATAAAATTTTAATTTTTTGTTTTAGATTAAAATTATTTAAATTACAAGCAACAATTATTTGTAATGACATGAAGATGTCAAATGATGAAGTTCAAGAATATCAAGTAAATTTTATAATTATTTTTACTTTTTTTTTATTTGAAAGATTTAAAAATAATATTTTTTAGAAAATATTAAGTGATTATAAAGATTTTCGATCTGTTATTGCTGCTTATCTTGTTGGTTATCAATTAATGAATGACAATAAGTATGTAAAATTCAATGAAAACAAAAAAAAATTTTTTTTTCTGTCGAACTCACATTGCGCTCAATAGTTTGAGCTCCTCATACTATATTAACTCAAAAATCTTCTTCATTTTTTTAAAATTCTTTACAACTATTAACATTAATGTACACGCGTATGTGTTCATGCATGATTGCTCTTGCATTCACATGCGAAGATTCGTTCAAACAAGTACTTGTATATTCTCGTATGTGATAATAAAATGCAAATTCATATGTAAATTTACATTGCATGTACACTCAGCACTTTACATGCAGTTGCGCGTAGTTTTTTAAGATTTTGCATTTGACTGAACTACTGTAAATATGATGGATAGGTGCAACAGATTTATTTGCCTAGTTAAATCAACGGTTAGAAAAATAATGATAATATTGGATCGAAAATTTCAACTAGAATGCCTATGACTCTTGAATAACTAAATTTAAAAACCTGAAACATACGTAGTTTTGTAGATCTTCCATTGGCGGTTCGGATGCATACTTGACAATTGAAAAATTCACTATAGTCATCTCACAGTAGAACTCCTCGGATACAAATTTTCAGACTCGGACCAATCCGATGGACCTTTCTCTCATAGGATACGTTGGTTTTCAAAAACGTCGATAGAAAATCTTCAAAAAAAAATTCGATCGAAAAAACTTGTAATATACGATTCGATGCGTCTTCTAAAGGCGAAAAACCACGCTTCTCTAGTTTGTTTCTATCAAAAATTCCAACTCGGCGTTTGTTTTTTTTTTTTTGAAAAGGATATTAGTATAATGACACTTAAGAATATGTGTGAGTTTCACATTTAACTTTCCAATTAGTTGTGTATTGAACACAAACTTTATTAATTATTTAGATTTGATGATGCAATAACATATTTTTGTGTTGCTTGTGAATATAATTTACGTCTTTCAAAACAATGTATGTTACCAATGAGAGCTATGGATAGTTATCTTTTATTTAAAACAAGACGATTATGTTTTGAAGTAAGATTTGATTTTTATTTTTTTTATCAATTTCAATGATTTTGATTTAATAGAAATGGAATGATGTTGTATTAAATCGTTTTAAAACTATACCTGATTATCGTCTTGATATAATGATACATCAATTTCTTCCATGTTTAATGCAACTTAAACTTAGTTCAGAAGATGATCAAGCATATATAACAGAAATTCAACGTATATGGTGTTTATTACTCGATAAACTTGAACGTATGTATTTAAACAGATGAATTATTTTGATAAAAAAACAAAAAAAAAGAAAACCTAATTTTAATTGAAATTATATTTAGCTAATGAACATTCAATTGTACTTGAAGAATTTCTTCAACGTTTACTTGAACAACCAGTTGGTCAACATTATCATTCTGTATCAATAAATAAACATCAATTAATTGAACGATATGAAGAAACTGTTCGAGATTTAATTCATCATAATCCATCATTTTTTACTCATAAAAATGAACAACAATCTCCTGTACGATCAAATCGTGCAACAAATGTAATTGGTTCTGTTCAAATTCCTATTGTTATACATCATCATCAACAACAACAACAAAGACCTATTCAGCAATATCGATCTAATCAACGTGGATCATCACCAATGCAACAAGGTGATGATGAACAAGATTCATTACCTCCATCTTCATCTTCATAAAACAAAAAAGAATAATTTGCTTTATCATCTATTCGGTGCTATAACCAGTAACATACATATGTTAGAATGTAGCTGTAATCAGCCCGGTCTCATTTTTTTTCTCACTTTCTCTCGTACATCATGCACATGCATGTTGTTACTATTGTACCATATGTGTTTTTTCTCTCTCTCTCTATTTCTCACATCTTTCTAATACATTATGCATATTTTTTTTTTGTGTTATCCTTTTTTTTGCTTGTCAAACATAAACACAAAATTTTTTTTTTCGTTTTGTATAGCATTTAAATTTCCGCAATTTGTTTTTTTGATTATTGGTTGTCGTCTTGTAATATGTGTGATGATGGTATATGTGTGTGTGTGTGTGTGTGTGTGTGTGTGTGTTTTGTTGGTTTTCATACTTAAGGTGATCTGATTATTGTTTGACTTTTACTTTAGAATGATAATGAAGACAACAATAGCATAAAACAAAAAAGTGTGAATATTGATTTGAATTATTAATGATCTTTTAAATATCAATAAAATTTTTTCTTTCTATGAAATTTTAGATTACGAACGAAAATAACGTTCGAAATTAATGTTTTAGAGTTTAGTATTGAAATAAACAAATATGTAATTAAATGAAATTAATCATTTACAGGAAGAATGAAGAAAGAGTAGAACTCCCATTTATTCATCATAGAAGTTAAATACTAGCTTCGAGATTAAGTTTTGTATTAAATGTAATGGTAGGTTGGCTTATGAGGAATGTCTTCTAACTGCATAATCGCTTTTAAGTTGGGATATGTGCAAAGTGTAGACTCTAATGGGTTATGAATACTCCGAAAAGCATTCGGATTCAGGACTTATTAGTGTTGACATATTGGGTTTTTAAGGCATTTATTAATACAATGGCATGGTCCTCCCAAGGAAAATCACGAAAACTGATTTTCGAATTTCGACTTGAAACTTCCCATAGAAAGAAAAGCGTTGATGACAATAGTTTATTGTAAAAGTTTCAGATATTTTCATTGTTCATATCCCTAGATATAGCCATGATAAAAGCACGTCTTTTGCATTACTCATATAAACGCACAGATTCGATGTTCTTTTTTCAGGACAGAAACAGATTAAATGGCTTGATACTTTTACGATTAACTATTCTCGTTAAGGCTTATTTCTATGCAAAATTTTCTTGGTATTCTCGAGGAGATGACGGCATTGTATGGAAAAATACCGTAAAAATACAATATGTCAACACTAATAAGCCATAAATTCGAACTCTTCATTAGGGTCTACGTGATGCATACAGTTCCAATTTAAAAGCAACTAATCAGTTGAGAGACTTATCTCGTCAGTCTTTGTCTCAAAGGTCATATTAACACTATTATTCTGAATCTGCCATCTGCTATATATACTCGTTTTTGATAATGTGATTAATGGTCATTATATAAAAGAATCTCAATTATAGTCTTTCTTCTAACAAGTACACGTTTCAGACTAGTATGAGTTATATGAATATAAATTCTAACTGGAACATACTGACTATTCATGTGCTTAAAATCTATAACAAAAAAAAGTTACACATAATATAGTTTTCTAACGCTTGCTTAGAACAAATTTTATATTCAAATGTTATGGATATATGAAACGATATATCGGATGACTTATAATATCATATATTAATGAAATTCTAACAAATTTAAACTGAAAAAAAATACAAGAATAGAGATTAGATACGAATAATGATACAGTCTATAAGCTAATAATCGTTGAAACTAAGGTAAGTTATGTAATTCAGTAGTCAATTAAATGCTATTTAATAAATATAAATTCGAGATTTTATTTAAATATTGATGTTTACAAAAAATTTTATTTTTTTCATAAAATTTAGTCTATTATTGTTACTTTATAAATATGATCTTTCACAAAGTTAAATATATAAGTTACTTGGATTTCATTTTGAAAATATTGTCTTTCATTTAGATTTGCCAAAATATCATTGAACAATTCAATTGCAAAAACAAAATGATTTACAAATTTGATTTATGGAGCTGGTAACTTTAGTTTCAACATGAAATTTGTAACAATATACGTGAAATATATCTGTTTGATAGTAGTCAGTATTTAATATAACAGACACATAACTGAACAGTTATAACCTCATAATCTAATCTTTGAATTACATCCTAGACATTTATCTGATCGTCTTGTTAGTTTTTATTATTGGACAGACAAGAAAAACGTTGAAAGATTTCTTACGTAATTTTAGATTAGATTTGATTCTGTTAAAAATAATTCATACATCAACTAACGTTTCAATCAATATTTCTTGATTATAATAAGTATTGATCTACTTGAATCTAATCAATAAATTATTTTAATATTTTATTTTTGAAAAGAAATTTCTTTATTTATAGCTTCTACAGGGATCAATCATTTAAATAATTTGACAAAAGATATGTTTTGCCTATCGAAAATATTAACATCAAATGTACGTCCATTATTTATGTTAAAAGTAAATTTATATAGATAATTATTTGTTTTTTTTTAATTGTACCTCTCTTTTTCTTTTTCTTTTGTAAAGAATATATCATCTATGGCAACACTTGCATCACCAACAGCAACTTATTCTGGTATTGTTTCAGATACATTAACACAAATTTATAATAAATATCATTTTAAAAATGATATTAAATTGGCTAAAACAACATGTCAAGCAGCTAGATTTCTTGATGAATATTTATCACATTATGAAGAAAGAAAACATAATGAAAATACAGTATTTTTATGTCATATATATCATATGTTTGTTGAATTTTTATTTAATACACTTGAAATTGTTGAAAATGATCGTTATACAACAAATACACATGATCTTGAGGTTTGATTTCTTGTTTTGAAAAATAAAATTTAATTCTTTTTGATTTGTATATAGAACATCCATTATAATATATTTACCAATACACATTTTAATAAATCTTGTGGTTCAGAAAAAGGTCCACATGGTGAAACTTCATTATTTATGATATCATATATAGCTCAAAAAATAAAATATGATTATAATATTACATTGTAAGATTTTTCTTTTTTTTTTAAAAGAAATTATATTCTTTAATTTTAATTATTTTAGTGAAGAATTTAAACGACATGCTTGTCATGTTGATGCCTATATTGAAAAAATGATGACATATCTTCGAGAAAAACATCTAGTCAATGGTAAATAAATACAAAAAAGTTTTTATTTTTATTTTGTAAACTAATTTATTTATTTATTTTATTCTAGAACAACGAGATGGAGACAAAGCTCATATTAATGAAATACCTTCTATAATTTAATTTATCTCATTTTTTTTTTCTTTCATACTACTTTATTTTCTATTTATTATTTGTTTTTTTTCTCATTAAATTTATTAATCTCATAGAACAATAGTGAAATTTTTTATTGTTCATTATTATTATCATCTTCATCAAATGATACTGATGGTTTGAGTGCTTCAAAAATACACCAACGACGTTGACCTGAATTTGTTAGAGAATATTTTAATTTCCATTGTCGAACAGATTCATCTAATTCTTGACGAGTTAATTTCTAAATAGGAGAATAAAAATAAAATTTATATATAGAAAATAAATATATAATATTTACAGAATTAGGATTCATTCGATTTTTTTCAGCTATTTCAATTTCATTTTGGCAATATTGTTGATATAAATCAGAATGATCTTCTACATGCACTTCAGTAAAACCACATTTTTTAAAAAGCTTTAAACAAAAAAAAACAATTCAAAAGTTTTTATCTTTTTTTTTTTTTCTATTACTTCTGCATATTCCTGGATCGATGGCATAGTATACATGCCAGAACGTACATAATCAATAAGATCTTGTGAAAATGGTGTATTACCACAACAAAAATCAGTAATCAATAAACGACCACCATGTTTAAGCCATGTATAAAAATTATTAAGTAATGTTGTCTTATCCGAAACATGAAACATGACATCACGACTTAAAAAGAAAAAAAAAACAATATTTAAAATTGTTTTCTAGGAAGAAGAAAAAAAAAAAAGAAAGATTTTTGTTTTTATTACCTATAAATAGCATCAAATTTTGATGGTGAAAATCGCATTTTTGTACCATCACCAACTTCAAAACGAATTCGATGTCCTTTATATGATAATGCTCGATCCCATGCTAAAATTAAATCATATGAATAACTTTTAAAATCAAATAGATATTTTTATTTTACTTAGTACCAATGCCGATCATATTAGCTGAAATATCTACACCAACAATTTCACAACCATAATCCTATGAGATTACACAGAAAAAAATTATTTTATTTTCTGTTGAATTACAAACTTGAGAAATTTGAAATGAACTTCCGCCTGTTGCACTGCCAAAATTTAATAAACGTTGTGATGATGTTAAATTAAGTCGTTTTATAAGTACTTGTGTTAATTCAGCACCACCAATAGTAACATAACCTTCTCCACGTACAGATTCATATTTTTGTATACTTTTAAGAGCATATTCAGAATGATCAAGAAAATCTTGTAATGTTTTATAACCATGAAGATTTTGTAAATTTGTTTTTAAAAATAGAAAACAAACCTAAATAAATAAATCAATATTTCTTTTGTTTTTTTCTTTTTTAATTCTTCTGTTTTACTTGATTATTATTATGTTTTATTTCATAATATGATTCCAATGCTTTAGCAAAAATAAGTTCATAAATTTGATCATGTGGATGTTCAGGTGTACCATTTAATATACGTGAATGACATATATCAATATATTGTCGTGGTGAACGATAATATGTTGGATTTTCACCAGATTTGATATTACCTATAAAAATAAAAAGGAAAATTAAATTCAAGAAGAAGAAAAAGAATTTTCCGCTTTTCAGCTACCTTGCGGTATAGGATGTTGTCCGGAGACAATTTCGAAAGCCTGATATTTTTCCTACAACTATCACTAGCTGTAGCTCTGGACAGAAGGCTGGCCTGACTCAGAGCTCTCCGTATACGTTGACTAATCACATACTATTGTCAATTTCAAAATAGAATGTTCTCCACTGTTTTTTGAATAACTTGAGAACGCAAGTAATTAGAGACCTGCGCTTTTCACCAATCAAAAGAGAAGACCGGAGGAATGTCTTTTTCTCCAATAATGTATAAGAGAAAATCCTTTAAAAACTAATTATTTTTGAAAAACATGTAAAAGAAGGCATGAAAATCGATTTGCCATCTAGATACAATTTTGATTTTGTCCTTTGATTTAGATAGAGAGACTTCAAATCTATAGTTCAAGATATAATGCGCTTCCTTATCTTTCATTACATTTCCATCGAAATGTCAATTTATTATGATAAAAAGTGAGAAAACTTAGGAAAAAATTAGCAAAAATCCCTATTATTTGCGCATGTAAATACATGATCCAATTTGCTTAACTTTAGAATGTAATAAGAGAATCGATTTGTATTGTATCTTGAACTATAGATTTGAAGTCTCTCTATCAAAATCAAAGGTCAAAATCAAAATTTCATCTAGATCACAGTGAAATGGACAATAGTCACGAGGACCGGTGTACGTCACAACGTAGTCAGTATGCTAACGGACAGATGATCCGAGACAAACAATCATTAGTGACTTGTCCAAAGTCACTCTCTGTTTGATGACGCCGAGGTTCGAACACAGTAACCTTAGTGGTACGTGTCGAGCAGCTTAACCACTCAGTCATAGCGGCTAAATTAAATTCAAACATATTGCAGAACCTACAAACAATTCTGGCGAGGGGAAGAGCTGAGCCTCCGCCTAGAGCTGACAAGTAGTATATCCTTCCGTCTAGATTTTCTCTTTCAGAAGAGCGAATACCTATTTTTGAAAGCACGGATACAAAATACATGGAAGAAGAACCACAAACTTCGGAGGAGTGCTGTCTTCTGAGCCTCCACGCGAGATAAAACACTCAATCCTAGGGAGCGTAAAGATTTCTATAGGAGCTCAGCCGTTAGTCGAACAATGTCAGAAATAACACAAGATACACACATATATTATCGTCAAACTATTCAATATGATAATACTATAAATTTGAATATAAAATCTAATAAACCTGAAGAATGAAAGCATGATTCACGAAAAAACATTGTTCCGCCTGGTGTAAGCCATGAAAGACTTTTTTGTAAAAGTTGTCCAGTTTCTTCGTCCGAAAGATACATAAAAAGCCAATTGCTAAAGACAATATCAAAACTAAAATAAAAAGTAAAAAAACAAAAAAAAAAACAAAATAATAAATTATTTCTTGTTTGTTATCATAAATACCTATTTGGTTCAAATGATAATTGTGTTGCATCTTGATGTAGAAATTCTACTGTACCATAATGACTATTTTCTGCTCTATTTTTTTCCAAAAAACTTTCCATAAAATCAACAGCAACAACAGATTTAGCTAATTGAGCAAATCGTTTTGTAAAACGTCTAAAGAATAATTAAGAAAAAAAGAAAACAAGATCAAGATTTTTTTTTAATGTCTAGTTTAGATACAAACCCAATACCAGCTCCTAATTCAAGTACACGTTTACCATCAAGATCAGGTAAACATTCAAGTATTTCAGGATATTCAAATTGATTAATTTTATCAGCATTTGTATCAAGCATCATACTTTGAAGATTTGGATTTGAATTACGTTTCCAATATGTAACCATTGTTGCACGATTTTCGGATGCTAGAAAATAAATTATAGAATAAAAAAAAAAAACAGAAATTATATTTTATAATATGTTTTTCTCTTTTACATGAACTATTTGACCGCTGTTGTTTACCAATTTCATCTTCACTAGTCGAAAGTTGACAGTCACTGGTTTCTGGCATTGTTTCGATTTTCTTTCTGTTGAATAATACCTTTAGCAACAACAAATAGAAAAGAAATGTATCTATGCTCAAAATAAGTTTAGGTTTGAATCAAAGAACTGAATACGAAAAAAAAAATGTCCGTTTATATAAGTTGTATTTTTTCTCTCTCTTCTTTCTTCTTCTTCTTCTTCCTCTTCTTCGTTTGCTGCATTGTATATATACCTTATCAGTTAGTATATGATGTGAATAAAGACAATCGATGCATGTGACTTTTCAAAGTACAACGGCATAAGCATAATAAGTAGAAAGCAAAATCAATATGACACGAGGTACAAGTCACTTGAAAATATTGTGACACACTTTATCAATAATATACGAGCACTTTTTCTTGGTGAAAACAAATATTTTCGATTTATTTTGATTGGTTAAAATCTTCAAGTGTAAAGTTCATAATAATTTAATATCCAGTTCGTTTTGTGTTTGAAATAAAATAAGACAAGAATACTAATCCATCGAGATAAGATTATTTTTATTTTTGAATTCTAGGTATATATATATATATATGCTTGTCATGTATGAATAAATACATGAAATCTCCATTTCAATATAGGCAATATCTTGTTTTTGTTTTGATATGAGAATGGAGAGTTGAAGACAGTCTTTAATTACAATATAAAGAAAAACCTATTTCAGTCGTCATGACTACAATCGGTATTTTCTCTGCTAACGTTTTTTCTATTTTGTGCAATATCTCTGGTTCTTCTGACGCAGTTAATATAGAAACACTCCAGCTGTGATCGAATACTGCTGCGTCATCACTCTTAACTTATCTTTGATTTACGTTTTTCAACTCTAAAAGTCCATTAACCCTTTGAGTACCGGATTGTTTTTATAATTTCAAATTAACATTTATTTCGCAAAAAATATCACAAAGTACATGAATTAAAATACTTGTAGAGTGTGATAGTCTTTAAAACAATCCATAAGACACAATCGTACATCACATTCAATGCATTCATACGAAGTATCTCTTCTTGATCTGGCTGTTCTCACAGTGTTAGCACAAACTTAACATTTTCTTCTTGGATTTAGTTGAGTTTCTGTTGATTCAATGCGCAAAGAAAAATGTAATCAAATGTGATCAATTGATCAGAATCTTTACTATAGATAACACTCTTGAATGACTGTGTTAATACAAAAAATCCTATTGATAACGATTATTCTTTCTTGGGAAATGTTGTCCAATGACTTATGTTCTAATTCATTGAATCACATAGTGGTCAATAGAAATATTAGGGAACAACCAATATTCATCACTAGGTACAGATAGTCTTAACCGTACAAATATCCTCAACGCAAATATTCATGTAATTCATATCATAAAATAATCAAACGATCATGTTTTCTAAAGTTCTTCAGACCCTAAACTATCGGGACGCAAATTCGCGTCACCGGTACTCAAAGGGTTAAACTATTAACGATATCATATATTTTTCTAATGATACTCAATCAGATAAATCTTTATTGAAAAAAAACCAGGCATTGTTCGTTCATTTTCTGCACACATTCTTTTAATAAGATTGTTACCAATGATATATTGGTCATCATTACTCTCCTTATCTTCACTCTTTAATAATCAAGTTCTTGCGTCATAAATCAGACATGAGATTGGTTCGTGTTTTTTATTTTTTTAGAATCAAGCCGAATTGAACCGATTCCGTCTCTACTATATATTGTATTGTTTTTCCTCTTTGTTTTTTCAAAAAAAAAATATTTGATAGCGTACAGATTGAGATATTGATGAATAAATATATTTCTATGATGAAAATATTTACATGTTTCTTTTTTTTCGAATATGATATAATTTCTATCAGCTATTTTTTTTTAATGTGCTTGTTTAAAATTATGGATAATAATAAAAATCAAGAAAAAAAAAGATGTTATCATTCAATAAAAGAATATTAAATTAAGATTTTAATTTTTATTCTTCAGGATAATCAGGTTGACGATTTGGATGTGCTTCTTTGAATGCAGGAAGTAAATTTAATTTTGTTTCAATGGCTGTCATTATAGGATATGCAGTTAAATCAACATTAAATCTAAATAGAAAATAATCATAAAGATGAATAGATAACTAAGAAATGAATATATTTAATTATATACCGTCGTGCATTATAAAGCTGAGGTACAAGACAACAATCAGCTATTGAAAGTTCATCACCTACACAATATTTTCCTGCTGATTCTTCAAGAGATTTTTCTACCGCTAGATAAAAGTTAAATTATATTTGGATATTAATTAATTAATTAATTAATTCCTTTACCATTGAGTCCTACTTTAATAAAATCATGTGCCCATTCAACTTTTTTTTCTTCTCCAACACGTTTAAGAACGGTTAGATTTTGTAATGGCTTTATATTAAAAAATAAAAAATCAAAACATAATGAATAAAAAAATAAAAAAATAAAAAAAAATTACCTGAATACCAGATGCAATAATTTCAGCAATCAAACGAGCCTGAATCAAAGAAAAGTTTAAATAATCATATTGAAAAGTCTATTTTTTCTTTCTCATCTCATTTCGTTCTTTATAACCTGATAACGTCGATAAGGATCTTCTGGCAAAAGTCGAGGTTTAAACTTATGTGTTTCATCAATATATTCAATGATAGGGATCTGAATAACAAAAAAAAACAAAGGCATACATAGAAACACTATTACAATTTTATTTAGATCGACATACTGATTGTAGAAGTTTTTTTCCATCAATAATAAGTACCTAAATGAACAATTCAAGAGATTTTCTCATAAACTACATCTTGAAAGAAATTAATATATTTATTTACTGGTACTTCACATTTTGGATTGAGCTTTTTATGTTCATCCGTCGACTACAAAGCATAATTTTAATAAGATAATTTTTTGTCAAAAACAAAAAATCAACAATTACATACTGATTCACCTTTGGCAAGATTAACTGGATGAATTATATAGGGAATATTTTTCAAATTCAATGCTAATCGAAAAAAAAAGAACAAATAAGCATTTTATTTTGGTTGATTTTGTTTTTCGAAATAGACTCACCAATTCGAACCCGATACGCGCATGAACTGCGATAATATGAATACAAAATTGGCTAATGTATAAAATAAATATATATATTTTTTTTTGAATAAAAGTATTCTCTAACCTTTGTATGGGAACTTGCCATATTAGTTAAATCTAGAGCAAAGTAATAAAAGAAAAGAAAAAACACTTCTGATTTTTTTTCTTATTCATTTCTTATCTTTAATTTCTCGATATCGCTTTTATTTGATAATAATAAAACCACGCATATATTCAAAAGAACAATAAATTAAAGTCAAAGATAACTAGATAAAAAAAATTTATCAAAAGATTTGTGTATTTTCATTTAAATCAAAGTAAAACAAAAAGACATTGTAAATCAAAACATCATTTTATGTCTTATTGAATTAATCTTGTTTATCTATAGATTGATGACGACATTTAACAAAATGATTTCCATTTTATATTCGGATAAATCTTTGTTATTGTTATGAATGTATTAAATATAATTTATTACAAGTAAGATGTGATAAAATACTAAATGAAAATTTCATATCATCAATCAATAGAATTTATAAAAGAGATTAATATATTTTCATTTGACGTGTAAAATCTAGAAGATACTAGTAAAAATAAATATATTGACTGAAATTCATTTTGAATTTTTTCTTTAATATATGTGTACTTGAAGGATGAAAATAAAATGTTTAACGCACTTAGCAACTTTCAAGTTAAATAATATACAAATTTATTATTCTTTTTAACTTTTTGTTTAGTTTATTTTTCATTAAGGAATCTGTATCTTCCATATAGAATTTTAAAAAAAAAACGTCAATATTACAATATTTTTCTCGGATTAATTATAAATATTTGAATTAGAATTCTATCAAACTGAAATTTTTTTTCTTAAAATTTTTCAATCAACGTATTTGTATCTTCCTATTAAATTTTTAAAGCATCTACCCTTACACTAACTATATACAGAGTGTCCCAAACGTAAGGAAACAAAGTTTTTTTTCGATTTTTTTTTCTTATAGAGCGTCAGTTAATTCTCATATTTATACCACAGATACTAGATGACATAAGTGAAAGATTTAGCACATGAACAATATCTGAATGTAGTAATTTGCTCAAAAGCATAAAAATATAGGATAATCAATAATAAGGTAACATGCGTGAGTTTTAGCAAAACTTTTATGAAAGCAACAGAACAGAAAAATTACACATAGCAAAGTATGTCTTTGTTAAGTCTGTGCAGTAAGAAGATTTTCACAAAAATTGCTCAATATGTTCACTTTCTAGGTCTTTGCAAAGTTACAGTCTCTCAGGTACTAATTGACAAGCCTTTTGGCATAATTCCATTGGTAATCTTCCCACCTCTGTAATAATAGCATCTTTGAGCGCTTGAAGATTTTGAGATTTTGTTGCATACACACGGTCTTTTATCACACCGCATAAAAAGAAATCGGTCGGTGTCAAATCCGGTGATCGTGCTGGCCAGTCTATCGGTCCACGTCGACCAATCCATCGATCAGGGGAGGCTTTGTCCAAGAAGCGTCGAACGAATTGTTGATAATGAGCTGGAGCTCCATCGTGCATATAAAATATTTCTTCTAAATTCATCTGATTTTCAATCGCAGGTACAATTTTTTCATCAAGCATTTCCAGATTGCTGCGTCCAGTAACTGTATCACGAAAGAAGAACGGTCCAATATGGCCTCCAGACCAAATTCCGGCCCATACAATAATGCCTGGGGTATTAATCTCCTGGATAATGACGATATGAGGGTTTTCTGTAGCATAGTAAACGCAGTTATGTCGATTGACGTGTTCATTCAACTTGAAAGTAGCTTCATCGATCCACACAATTCGATCAGGGAACGAAGAGTCTTTAACGACCAATTTCAGAAAGATATCAGCAAATTCGCAACGTCTTTCGGGATCATCTTCGTTCAGAGCATGCAGTAATTAAGGACGATAAGGCTTCAATCCCAGCTCCTTCATTATTCGTTGAAGACTGCTTTTAAACAGAATTAAATCCAATGACGCCCTTCTTAATGATGTTGCAGGACTTTCTTCAAAAGCTGCACGAAGACGTTCTTTATTTTCATCGGTACTGACAGATCTGGATTCATCTTCAACACTTCCGGTTTCATCAAATTTTCGTACGAGATTCAAAATATTCTTTCGTGTTGCAGGAGTTCGATCATAACATTGTTGAAACTGACGAGCAACTTCACCTCCATTCTGGTACATAGTATACCATTTTACAATTTCAATCCTTTCAGATGTCGACAAATGAGAACTTTCACTCATGGTTAAAAAAATATGAAAAACGCAGTTAGAACTGCGAGAAAAGAAACAGATACTAAATAGAGAACAAAATATGAATCATCTGATAAAAGATATGACCATTCGTATTGTTTACTGCAGACGTCACCGCTAGTATATATATAAATACTACCAAAGACAACGTATTATATGCTACGACAGTGGAAAGTATAACTGACAAGCATGTTTCCATTTCTTCGGTAATACTATATTTGTATGCTTTTGAACAAATTACTACATTCAGATATTGTTTATATGCTAAATCTTCCACTTATGTCATCTAGTATCTGTGGTATAAATATGAGAACTAGTTAACGCTCTATAAGAAAAAAAATTGAAAAAAAACTTTGTTTCCTTACTTTTGGGACACCCTGTATGTGTTAGAGGCCTGAAAATTTCTATACACACACTTCATCAAGATTTCGAAGTCTATGCTCATTGTGGTTAAGAGAAATTATCTAGTACTCTTTGGAAATCAATAGCTCAATGATAGTTTCATGAAACAAGTTCAAATTTTTTAAGCAGTTTCCTCTACAGTTAGACATTCTTGCTTACAAGTCTTAATTCCAAGGATCAGAAACATCAGTATTTGAGCGAATGAACTTATGTTTTAGATGAAGAAAGACTGTAGACAGGATTTCATCTACATGTAAAGTTTTTTGTAGTAAGAAACAACGTAAAACTTTGAAGACAGTTCTGTTTAGGGTTTTAATGCTCAAAGCAAAAAAAAAAGTGCTCTCCATCATAACTCTCTTTGTAATTAATTAATAAAGATCGAGATCGACGGGAGGCGGAGAAGACTTTTTGTCCATTACTGTACATAAATTTGTTCTAATCATAAGCTTTATATATTTTTTTATATCAAGAATATGAATCGCAAGTAGTTTGTCTTTGATAGAATATCAAATATTCTCATATTAATTAAGTTATTTTTTAATTGAAACTTGATGATATTTATTTTTTGCCTATGTCAAAGTCTTATTGAAGAAAAAAAAAACCTATAATTAAAATACAAAAGAAGCAAAAGATTTTTTTTGTTTTTATTTAAATTTCTATATACAGATCTATATACAAATTACTAAAGAAAAATAATACATTTCTAATTAGTGTTTATTGTTATGAAATATAGGAGATGAAATACGAATATCATCTCGTATATCATTTGATTCAAGCATAAATTGATATCGTACAGAATTATTAAGTAAAGCAGCAAAACAAATACCAATATCAGATGATGATATTTGTTGATTATCATTTTGATGTATATTTGAATAAATTTCACTAAAAAATATATTTTTATCTTTTTCAAAATGTTTAAACATAATTTGTTTCATATTTGTTTGTAAATGACGAAAATCAATTGCACGTTGTCGTTTTAATATTAATAATGAATTTGATATATTTAAATCATTATTTGATGAATTTGGTAGAATAAAATCATTGAAATTATTTATTAAATCATTTGTATTATCAAATGGTAAAAATTCATATTCAGGTGATGGTGGTCGTAATAATAAATTATGTTTTAATAATTGTTCACGTAATTTTTTTGGTGTCATACGTTGTTTTTTAGCTTGTTCAACAAGAAATGGAAATGGATATTCAATACTTAAACGTCGTTTACGTATTAATTTTGATGATGATATAATAATATCATCAAATTTCGTATTATTATTATTATTTATTTCATTAATAAATGCATTAACTTTTGTTGTATCAAGATATGAATATTCATTTGGTGTATCCGTAAGTAGATTAACAGCATTCGTTAGAATACTTGAATTACTTGTTATACTATTTGTACGTGATCGTATTGGCGTACTAGAAAGATTTATTGCAGATGATGATGATGATATAAGACTAGTTGGAGTTAATAATTGACTAGATGTTGTTGTTGTATTTAAATCTGCTGATGAAATATCATTATCGTCTAGAGAAAGAAAATTATTCATGCTTCAAAATATATATAAACTTAATGTTAACTTTTATCATAAGATCATATGAAAATTTCGAATAGATTAGTATGTGGTAAGAGAATATTTTGTATTGTAATACATCGAACATTTAATTTCATAGACTAATAGTATATATATATATATAGTGACGTTCAAAATTAATAATACATCTGAGAGATGACTTTGTTTTTCTAAAATCTTACAAAAAGTTCAACATATTGAAGTACGAGTTTTAGAAAAAAAAAAGTTTTTCGTCGAAATACTCTACAAAATGCTTTTCTTCTTTCGAAAATCGTTAGATGAATATATTTTTATATTGTTCAGTATACGTGAAATTTTTTGAGACAAATCAAAGGACATTATTTTTAATACAGTAGAACCTCTGTGATTTGAACACTATCGAGTCTGGTCAAGTGTGCTCCTCATTATTGAGAGATTTTTAGTTTCTTTTTTTGCAACCAATGAGTATTCAGTTGCACAAGTTAATCTTTTTCTTCTGTCCAATAATTTATTGATTCAATTTGTTTAATCCACTGTTGCTATTGTTTGATGTTGGTTTTTTATTTTAAATATTCACGCCTAGTCCATTCCTTTTTCCTATGTACTCATGGTTATTTATCCTAACACGATATGTATAATTTCATTTTCTCTTGTTCTATACTTGAATGATAGAATATATGATGTTCACATTACACAATTTGTTATTGCTCGTGGGAATGGGAAAAAAAACGTTCACTATTCAGCATATGGAGTTGCTCATATTTGAGAGATTTTAATGTGTTTTTTTATCTAGTACAGCCGGTTTACAATGGAAAGAGGTGATGCGCTGCTCAAATAAATTTTGAAACATGAATTTTAACTGCACACCCTGCGAAGTTAAACTTTTTGACACCGAAGATTATCATTTCGACTTCGAAAATTTTTTTTTTTGTTTTGACTAATATCTATACTTCTTTTTGTACTACTTGTTAATAAGAATGTCTCTCAGATGTTTTTTCTTTGTAAAAAAAAAATACTTGAGTCTTTTAGTGACGTAATTTTGACTCAGTCAGAATTCGATGCAAAACTGTAATTTCAATATGTTGAACCTTTCTTAAAATTTTAGACAAACAAAATCATCTCTTGATTGTGCATAATCAATTTTAAACATCACTGTATATATAAAATATATAGTTTTAACAACCTAATTAACATGCCTTGATTAGAAATGATTAAAACCATTATCCCATCTAGCGTAGAATAACTTACTTTTTAATAAATACTTGAATTCTGAAGCAAAATCATTGTTCAGTTTTTTTTTTTTGTTCTTTCTATTCTGTCGATTAAAAACAAAAGGAATTTCTAATAACTCACAGAATTCTACAAATACTATTGCTTTTCCATGTGAAATGATACAAATTTAAAATTTATCTGCATGATTTGAAGAAAAAAAATTTTACTCGAAGGAATAAATATCATCTTTTGTTTTTAACATACTTGATAATATAGATGAATTTGTTGTATCAATAGATAATGAATCACAAATAAAATCATTTGAATTAAGATGTGGTGATAATATATCATTTTGTTCTTGTTTAGGATTTTTTTTATTTTCATTTATTGTTGATGATATATTCATTTTATCATAAAGTTCACTTAATAAAATATTATCATTATTCATAGCTGATAAAAAAAATTGATTAATCATAATTGGTCGAAATTCATCATTACGATTTTTTCGAAGTAATTTATTACGATCAGTAACAATTGATTTTTTTCGTTTCATTAATAAACGAATTTTTTTATTATTAGATATTCGTCTTTCAGTAAAATTATCTTCATTATTATCACCTTCAATATCATCTTCCTCATCAAGTATTCGATGAATATTTTCATTTGTTGAACGAAGTATTGATTGAGTTTTACGAGTTTCTGAATAAAGTGAATCAATACGTGCAGCATAAATTTTTGCTAAAAGATAAAAAGAAATTCAATGAAAATAGAAATTTTTTTTTTATTATTAAATTTAACCTGATGTTTCAAGTGTTGTACCAACTGATTGAAAATTATTTATATGATCATCATCAAAACTTGTTGTTTCAAATATAGCAGGTAAATAATCAATAAGTACAATATCAAATGCATTTTTTGGTCCAATTTTATTTGAACGAAACATTTGTAATGTTGATTCATGTAATTTTGTTAATTCTTCATCATTCATCGGTTGATTATCAACAAATAAATCTATATCTGTTGTTGATGTCATTGTATTATTATTATCCATTTTTGAATTAGGAAAAATAAGTAACTAGTTTTATTATATTATTCTATCCTAATGATTGTCATATTTTTGACATTGAAAGAAATATATTGCTTTAATTGGGTATTTTGTTTGCTTGTATAGGACTTGTTTATTCTTAGGGATTAATGAAAAATAGTATTTGAAAGATGTCACTATATATCGATGATTCCAGATTGAATAGAACAAATCGAAAAAGGCCATAAATGGCTCAAAAACAGTTTCCGTTCCGATAATCGTTTACGATGATGCAGTCTAAAAAGGAGAAATATAGTGATAAACAATATATATTACAATTGTTGTTTATGTTCCAATGGAAATGACAGATTCAAGAGGATGGAGTTAAAGAAGAATGCCTCTTCTCTCCCTTGCAAACATTTTTTTCTAATAGGAAAAAGCTAAAATTACCTTTAGTGGACTTCAAAATGTTTCCTTTTTTTTGACCATGATCGCCCTTTTCTTCTCTTTGAAATGCCTCACGTTACCAAATTCCAGATTCTTCATTATTTCCATTGGAACATTTTTCGAAACTATGGAGGTGCTTTTTAAAAAATCCTCAAAAACTTTTCTTTCTTTCATTCAAAAAGCAATAGACACTTTCGACCTATTAGATATGAATTAAGAAATATTATTTTTGTTTTTCATATTTTTTTTCCGCTTTAAAATATTTTTTAAGACGTTTAAAATACAATAAGAGATTACACATCACAATGAGAAAAATCGAAAAATGCATATAGAACAACAAGAACATA